GTGACACGTAATTTATGACATTTAAATAAGAGAACAGATTAAGATAATTTATATGAAAGCGTGCGTATTCATAATGCGTTGCGGTTAAATCGACAAAGTAGAAACGAGCATGACGGATTTACCCGAATAAATTGTCCTATGAAAAAATGTTTCAATTTACAATGTATTGAACATTCACCTGAAATAAAAAAGAAATGACTGCTGCGTACAGCTTGATAGTTATTGATGTGAATCGAGAAGGTTCATAATTATGATGATATTAAAATTTTTACGTGCATTTTATTTAGAGAAGATAATAGGCTCTGGTCCGTCTTCTTGCCGATAAGCGAGCTTTACATAATACCTTAAACATACATATATATGTAACGTTTAACAACGATTCCTTGTTCCGGTGATTCAAGAAGATGTTTTCTTCATAGCCGAACAAGTAAAATGACATAGTTCTCAAATTGTTATAATTTTCCTTCTACAGTAGAGATTAGCAAACTACGGATATAGAGTTTTCACAAAAATAATTCCAATGAGACAGGGATAGAAATACAAGGTACAAGGTAAAATGAAAACAATACCTACGTTCTGGGAATTTATGTGGACGCGGTCAGCACTTAGTATTCTTGAGGATGATGCATCTGAGTCGACTCGGAAAAGATTCCGAAATATACCTACATCCTTCATGACGTACGTATTTAGACATACTCCATAATCGCTGCTGTACGAATGGATAGGCTTTTCTGCGGTACACAGCCTCACAGAAGAACAGCTTGAAGTAGCATGGTCATAAGAAATGTTATACTTTTGCGGTGCGTCTCATGAGTAAGGTTACCGCGGCCCACTCTTTTAAAAGGTTCGCATGCATAAACAGAAGGACAAATTGGCAAACGAGCTGGTGGTTCACCTGATCTTAAGTGATAACCGCAACCCATGGATATTTGCAACACCCGTAGGGTTGCAAAAGCGTTGCCACCTTTAAATAAAGTGGGCCCCTGCTACCGCGCCCACCAGACGAAACGCAGAAGTTTAACACTTCTACTTTACCCCGGTCTTCTGTGAGGTCGTGGTACGTATCCGGACGGACCTGCCCATTCGTGCAACAGTGAACACCATTGCGTAGCCATGTACACAATATAGATGATGCATGTCCATACTGCGCGGCGTTTAAAAATTGTTCCCCTTTATATTTATATTTTATAGAACGTATAATATGGAAAGAGTTAGCAGTCTATCTAATTACACAAATTGCTGTAATTTGAGTGCCTCCATTTCGGTGCGCTAGTGACATATATTTGTACTAGCTGATCCGGCAAACATTGTTTTGTGGAATTTCATAAAATCCGTTCTTAGCTGACCTCTACTCGACGAAAGGAATATTCCTACCAAATTTCAAGTCTCTACGCCTTATGGTTTCAGAGATATCGTGTCATTGTTATAAAGTTTGTATTTTATTGTTGAAAGGTAATATTCCTACCAAAATATATTTACAGTGTAATTAGGCAATGAAAATAACTTTATTTGATAATGAAGAATTTTTCTGGGATAACAATTGAAATTTTAAGTATTGTTATGGTATAATCTAGATAAGTAATGTTTTAGACGCAGTAAAGTTTAATAAACAATCACGTATTAAGTGCATAATGCAGTAGTGGGAAAGTACTAAATGATTTATTCAATTAGTACTTTCCCACTATTATGCACAAATATGAATGAAAGAATGAATATTTATTTAGTTTCAACAAACACAGTTATATTAACAATTAAAAGAATATACAGCGTGTCGTTACCATCGCGACAATAAATGAACACACGTCTAACGCTACGTGCCAATAATCATAAAAAAATATTAACGTAAAACAATATCCATAATTAAAAAAAAAATTTTTCAAACAAACTAATTAAGTAAAAAAGATTCAAAATTTGTAACATCCTATACAACTTCCGCCACAGCGTCGTATTACAAGCCTCTCCTTCTAACAGTATGTTTTGTCTCTTTTAAATTCATTCAACCCATTCATATGCTTTGTGACCTTTACAAATGAACTTTACGTTACGCTTTATAGGTAAGGGGGTTCTAAAATTATTTGTTTTGGAAAATTTAATAACTCTGTAAATATTGATGTTTAAAGAATTTAAATGTTTAATACAACTTTAAAAACTTATCCCCTATATGTGTGTTCATTTATTGTCGCGATGGTAACGACACGCTGTATATCTAAGACATGAAACCAAATAGGTATGTACTCCGTACGATTTACCGATTTTCAGTACATACCAAAAATGAAACTTATAAATAACAAACTAGACTAAGATTAACACAAAGCGGGTACATTAATTCAAGGACAATAACAAAATACCTACTAATTATAACACAAATCTGGTACATTATTTCAAAGACAATAACACAATAACGACTAATAAAAATTTACATCTATAAGTATAAAGCAGTGAACAGAAAAGAAAAAACTACCACCAAATAGAAAAACAAATGCGAACATCAATATAGCTATACGAAAACACCAATTCACTAGACAAAAATACATAAACTATGTACCTACACTGTATATAAAATGCACACGTATTTCAGCCCTGTTGCTTTTGCACTTTAAGCAGATGTTCTTTAAGTTTTATTTTTAAACTATTTACTGTTGTGCAGTTTATCTTCCATGAAGATACATTATGTATTAAAGACCAGATTAAGTTTTTGAAATAAATAGACATTGACCAAATTCTTGTAACAACATGGGTAAGAACATTAGAAATTTTATAATTAAAGAAATATAAAAAATATGTTAATATTTAATGATTAAAGTAATATAAGTAATTATGTCAACTTTCGAAAATTTTTTCAAATTCTATGACTTTAGTAAACATACAAGTACGTTTCTATCTACCAGCTATCAAACAACGCTCAATGCCACATGCAACCTGTTCCAAATTGTACTTGTAACATTTTGTTCTATTGTTTTATACAAATGTACATTATACATAATATAAATCCTAATTTAAAAGTAAATGTCCAAAATGATTTTTTATTATGATTTTTGATAATAAAGATCTTCTATTAGTTATAAGTTGTTTATTTCAGTCAAAAACGAGGGATACGCCATAAAAAAAAAATCTGCCCACCTCGTAAAAGAAGTAGTGGCCTATAAATGTGCCTCCTCTGTAAAGAGGGTATCAGGGCAGAGTCCACCACGCGACCCCACTGCGGATTGGCGGACTTCACATATTTTCGTTTTTTTTTTTGTTATTATTTCGAAAACATAGAGGTGGTGCTCGCGATGTTTTCCTTCACCGCTGAGTACGTGATGAGTCAGCACTTAAAATTAACAATTTCATTGGTGCCGACACTGGTGATCGAACTCAGGTTGCTCGAGTAAATTGAATTAAAGGCGATCGGCCGGTACTGAGCACACACCTCGTACATAATTGCAAATATTGTGCCTACATCATCGTCTCACGAATAGGCTTATCAAGCAACCAGAGCAGATGTTCTTTACGTTGAGAATCTACATAAGTCACCCTTATAGATAGATCTTCATCAACGTATTTCTTATCAGTGTTATGGTATTTTTAGTATCCCTGAATTCAAAATTTAAGTATTTTTACTGGATAAAGTATGAAACGAGCAACCGGTTTATCTGAACTCATGCTCTTCCGTGAATATTAACACTCGTGTCATTGCAGTTGTGTTTTCTTAGTCACTAGAGAAACGACAGAAGACGATCAGTGTATACTTATGCTTTACGTTAGTCTTCTCTGAGCCCGTGGTACTTCCCTGGACAAAATTGAAAAAGGTGGACAAGGATAAGCATTTATATTTATGTTCGACTTTATTTATGAACTGCGTTTTCGTGTTACCCACGGCGTGCGAAGGAAAAATGCGACGCTCAATGCTTTTTGTGTTTCAGATGCACCAAATCCGCACACAATACCACATTGGGAACTCCCGTTGTTCCGGTTTGCGTAATCGTGCGTTACGTTACGCGTATTACTTCCATTTAGAAAAATTACGAAATTTCGTGAGATAATACAATATTGATGCAATATTTGACTTAGATATCAAATATTAAACACCGAAGACAATGGCCGAGGTGACTCGATTGTATTATTCGGAATTGCATAAAAAATTATACCCTATCCTATGTTTTTCGTTTTACATGTTAAAAATTTACACCAATTAATTTCTAAACAAATTTTTGTTTCATAAAACACATTACATGTATATGTATAGTAATCGATTCTAGTAACGATTAATCGATTTTTAATGCATAACAATTGAGTATTGTAAAAAGATAAATATAAAGAAATTTTCCATATAATATAATTTATTTCTAAAGAATTTAGTATAAAGTGATGTAACCCCGTGTGTATAGTGAAGCAACTGCTATCAAGAGCTGAAGCCACATAATCTGCGACCATAAACGGAAATCTTTCGCCCGAACGCGTTAGTATTATCACCGCATACATCGACATACAAACATGTACGCATGCACGGCGATAGCCTTACATATTATCCTTTGCGACGAGTTAATGCGAGATGTCGCCGTCAAACATTTAGAGCTTGCTATATAAAAAAGGACGCGCACGCGGGAGGCGTACGGTTTGCGCGCGCGTCGGGAAATCATTCAAACGCATCGAGCGCTCGAGTCGAACGTCGGGCGCGGAAAAAGTGACAGTTCATTTTTTTTTAATTATTTATTTTCCGTCGAACATGATACACTGCCAGAGTTCAGCTCCGAAAATGGATTTGTGCCACAGTGTTCAGATACGTCTATGTGTATCCTAGGACAATGTCCGTAAACAACTTTTTCGCCAGAAACGAGAGTCGTCTGAACCGCTTCACGGAAATATTCAGATTCCTGATGCTGCGATTAGTTCTACCTATGGAGGGTACAATACGGATTTTAATGTGATTATTAAACACCCGCTGTTATTTACTTATTGTGAAAGCTGCACTGTGATATCTTTGAAAGTAGACGGAAGTAAAAAAATAATCGTTCAAGATGATGTCCAAAAAACAATTGGCCTGCATGCTGGCCCTCCATATAGTGTACCTCCTGGTCGGTGCGAGTATTTTCTACCACATCGAGAGTCCCGTAGAGGTGGCGCAAAGGGCCGAAGAAAAACTGGAAAGACTTGAAATCCAAAGTAAGTCCATTGCCATTGCATCTGTCGTTTCTGCAATCGTACGCGGCCTTAGCTGTCAATCGCTGCGTTAGAAATTATATCCTTTTCTGGTAGTAGCTAATCTGTACCACAGGTTAGTTCTTTGTTTTGTTCGCAAATAAATGTCAGACACAAATAAAAACAAATATCATCTGTAGTTTTCTAAAAACACTGCATAACAGAAAATGACTTTGAAATTAATCACTTAAAAGTAATTACTTTTAATAGACCAATAATAAAAGTTATTTTTGAGGCAAAAAACTCTAACGATGGCGGTAAAAAATGGTTTAAGATTGGACGATTTGATCAGCCTAGTTTTTCCATAATACTTAGTAGGCTTAGCGTTGGCAAATTTACCGTTATCATAAGAGATCTGGCAAACGAAATAGATTGTACGGAGTTTTTGGCAGAAGCTATCAGCATGGCTTCACCTTTAATTAAATCCCTGGATGAATTCGGAACTATGAAGAAATTACACACATTTCCGTTCAGCCATAGATCGTTGTAACAGATTTACGAATAATTAATGATCGTTCGGTTTTGCTCAAATCAAATATTTCTTAAGAACCATATGAAAGTTGCGACAGATGAAAACTACCTTGTTCATTAACATTATTCTCTCTTATACGTTTCATACTAGATTCTTTAAATTAATGTTTAGCAAATATTTCATTTCATATTTTTGTTCAAAATATGTCGGGAAACTTATTGAAAATTATTTTTACCTATCTATTAGTACTACTGACTCTAAAACTTAAAAACAAAATCTTATCTATTCAGGACTGGACGCCGCTTAATTTGTTATTATACGCAAACGCACCGACGATGATTGGTCCAAATATTTACTGAAACTAGTTGTGAATAACAATTCCATTGGAAACTATCAACCTATTCAGACGGACATGTATGTATTGCTCTAATCAGATAAGTGAATAAATGTTGTTTCCTCTACTGTATACTCTCCTGTAACACCTGTTCCCATTATCGATCCACTTGATGCAGTGTCAATGTGTGGCCTGTTACAGCAGTCCTCGGTAACAATTAGCGTAAAGCCATTAACTTGATATGAAAGAATGTCGAGTGGTGTAGTGTTTGCTATCTTCTCTTGTCCCGTAAACACCAATCGTCGTCATGATTTTCTGAAGGCAAACCTATCATGAATTTATACCTAATCATTTATATTCTGAAGTAGTATATAGTAGTATATATAGTAGAAGTCTTTGAATAAACATTAAATAAGATGTATAAGAAACGGTAAACTTGTCAGATCGCAGTTCTAACCAATTTTAGTATGATATGAAGCAATGAACACGATATCCGAATTTTCTTAATATATAAAGATAATTATATATAATAAAAATTGAAGATAAGGATAGCTTCCTATTTCATATCAAAAGTGTAAACGTTTTCTCCGCTTGAACGAATATAATTGTCTTTTAGCTTGATCGGAAAGACAAAGTTTCACTAGTATAACAGAAATATAACATAGTAATATTAACTCTTTCAAGTAAACTGTCCAACGGCGGACACTTGTAAAACTTAATTATTGCTAACGATGTCTTGTCAAGTTTGATCTACAATTTCGATGCCGTTAGTAATATAAATAGTAAAAGTCAATTGCAGTTTAACACATGCGAGGTGAAAGGAAATATTATGGAAACATGAAGGCAAAGACGTTGCACATATGATATGAAGTTACTTATTTGTTATATATGTATAGAGTCCGTCAATAGTGGAGAATTGCTTCATGTTTTAATCAATTAATAATAGTTTAGAGAATGATTTTCCTAACAATTCCGTCATTCTTTTTACTTACATCACTGGTCCAATTAGAGTTGATTAATGTAGCTTCAAAATCCCTACTAAACAAATTACGACTTGATGAAATTGTCAAAATGAAACACCCTATATTGTGCTTGCATACATAACATACGGAATCCGCTCTAGAACTTTCCGTCTTCAACGTTTCTTAGTACATTCAGTAGTCAGACTGTAAACACTTCGTACAATTATTTACAGCTATCATAGTTCGTTTAGTAATTTATTACGAATTCGATCACGTAGAGGAAAGTCCAGTAGATATCGTTGTGTAGGTCGCTACACGATTCAAGGCACCGTCAAATCATCTATTATACGCACGATTTTAAAACATTTACGTTTAAGCAGTGAATTATATTTTGACAGTTCAAAAGTGTAATTTTAATTCCTATTACTGCATGTCATTATTGATTATTCTATTTTTGTGTCTGATGATTATTCTCTTGTCTTAGCGTAGTATTTACGGGTATTGTAAAAAAAGTAAAGTATCAGCCTATACAAGTCCCACTGCTGGGCAAAGGCCTTGTCTGTATACGGGGTATTAGGGTGTAGCCCACCTCGCGGCCCCATTGCGGATTGCCGGACTTCACAGATCTTCGTAATATTTTTTTTTATTATTTCGAAAATATGCACCGGGGATCGAACTCAGGTTGCTCGAGTATATTAAAGGCGAGCGCCCGGACACTGAGCTATCACGGCTCTTTATCACGGGTATTCAAGATTGTTAAAATATTTTTATATGTATATTTCTTTTGGCGCTTTTTGAAAGAAATTATAAGAGAAAAATTTTTACAATGCGCGCGCACACCGACGGCAAAAAAGTGACATGATGAAGTGACAAGTGACAAGGCGACCAGCTTCACGGTATTACTATGCAAGCCAATAACAACTTTCTGAAATTTGCCTATAATTTCAAGTTATTTAATTCAACCGTTATCAATTGTATTTAATTTGACCCACAAAGAGTACTGGCACAGGAGATAAAATTTTTAGTTATTTTTCTTTACTTACGCTAGAGAAGTATCTATAACTTCGTACGTGCGGATATAATAAGTGCACTCATTTTTTTATTGCTTTAAGTTTTATTTTCGAGTTATGCTGTGAAAACCAGTACCTTTTTAACGAAAAAATGGTTGACTTTTCTTTTAATGAACAAAAATGCTATATTTTAATTAATAATTTTTAAATGTTTTTATGACGAAACTCACCCCTTGTTATCGAATTTGTTTTTCAAAACAGCAATATGTACACAAAAGGAATAAACGTAGAATATACATAAGTTGTAATTTCCTTATTTATATCAACAATTCTTAATAAAACACTTTTCGTAGTTGATATTGGTGGAGATATTAATCCTATAGATTGCTATAATTTTATTTCGAAACACTAGTAAAATATAAAAGTAACCGTCACTTCACAGCATTCGTGCAACGTATAAACAAGAGAATAAATTGTTCCGCCAGTGGGAGTATCGCGTCGACAACAAGGAATAATAGATTGTGTGGTTCTTCTAAACAAGTATCGCGATATTCTGATATTACGAACTCACACAATAAATAACAAATATGATCCATAGATATATATAATCATAGATATATATACGTATATATAATAATGGATATATGAGATAGAAGATGTGTTTAATGTTTCTTATTAAAAATACCATTTGACTCTTTATATATGCTGAAAATATTTGTTGGTACGGCTAGGCTATTAAATAACTGTTATATAACTAATTAATTAACAAATGCCCAGTTTAATGGAGAATTTTTCTATGTCAACTGTGCACCAACATCTGGATCCCAATGCAATCAATCGATGTAAATATTTTCTTCTGTGTGGATTAAACCTCGATTAAACCTCGATCTAAATATGACCGGTATATATTTGGCTCGTTTACAATATCGTAGTCTTCTTGTTGAATCATTTTTTTCTTATCTAATCGAAAACACCCTTTCCCCAAGCCAACTTTTCAAGTTGGGGTTCTTCAAGGATCATGCCTCTCCTTTTGCTCTTTACGCTTAAGAGTTACACCAAAGAACTAAAATAAATTCGAGTCACCCTTCATGTCAAAATTGAGTTTTTCATAAACAACACAGCCAACTTCCTCTCACCAATAATATACAAACATTTATGATGCAACAAGGGTCTCGCCCGAATACACGTATTATGTGCACTGTGGTAGGGCCACGCAGCAGCCTCGGCTGTTGCACGAATGGGCAGGCACGGCCGGGTAAGTACCACGACCTCACAGAAAACCAGCGATAAGTGGATTATATAATTCGCGTTTCATGTGGTGAGTGGGGTAGCCGGAGTCCAATTTTCAAAAGGTTGTCAATGCATCTGCAACCCTCGGGTGTAGCAGATGTCTATGGGCAGCGGTATTCACTTAACATCAGGTGAACCGTCAGCTCGCTTGGCAATATTTCGCATAAAAAAATGTACGCATTTCGGGAAAATGAATAGGGTGAATACAGTTCATCCTATTAATTTTGAGTAAGTTGCACCAACACACTGTTTGTACAAGGTATATCAGTATTATAACCCTATATGTTATCGCTGCTCCCAGCTTAGTACTAACACCAGTCACACCTGACGGACACACGGTCTACGTAGCCAGGCAAACTATAGTTTAAATCATAATAGTAATAAATATTTTTAGGACAGACTTTTACACAACCTTCTCTAGTCCCGAACTAAGCAATGCTTGTAATATGGGTAGTAGATAACTAATAAACATACTTAAACATACTTTTCTTTTGTAAATAAATACATATTATACATATACTAGCGGACCGGACAGACGTTGTTCTGTACACACGACTTAAATTCGACAACTGAAAAATAAAAAAAATGTAGTGGGCCGAATTGTTAATCTAAACCATTCTCGAATCGACCTGAAGACACACAAAATTTTTCATTAAAATCCATCCAGTCGTTTAGGAGGAGTTCAGTGACATACACACGTACAGTAGAATTATACAGCGTGTCGTTACCACCGCGACAATAAATGAACACACGTCTAAAGCTACTTGCCAATGATCATAAAAAAATATTAATGTTAAAACAATCCATATTTTTTTTATCAAACAAACATATTAAGTAAAAAAGAAACAAAATTTGTAACATCCTTTACAACTACAACTGACTGATTCATACATTCC